AATGTGTTACAGAGAAATGACAAAATATTTATTACAAATAAATTACTGATGAAATTATTCTTTGCCGACCATCATATTTGTACACTGCGCATGCGCATTGCGCGCCGAAATCGTACCCTCTCTAAAAAGTAGTTTTCTTGAGTACCGCCTCTTGTTACTACTCTTTGGTTTTGCTTCGAAATAAGCAACAAGCTCAGGTCAGTTGCTTATTTCGAATCAGGTATGCTACTCGGCTTGACATTGTTTCTGAGTACGACGAGGGGGAATGTGGAGAAAAAACAAGGGGTTCGATGGAGCGGCAAACTATAAAGTGATCGGTTGAGCAACGTGTACTTCGGACAAGGATAGAACGTGCTTTCTCATTTTAGCACTAATCAGAGTGAGAAAACATCTCGCTTTCACGGACCTCTCACTTTGGATCGTTCACTTGGCGGTGACTTCAAAGAGAAGGAAGGATAGTTGCTTATTTCGAATCACAAAAAATTTAGCAATATTTTTAGCTACTTCTCAAGTACTTAGTTTCCATACTTCTAACTTGAAAAGTTCCTAATTTACAAGTTTCTAAATTTTCTGATTTCCGAATTCTCAAATTTTGCAACTTCCTAAATTTTACAAATCGTCAGTTTCTCAAGTTCTCCAAATTCCTAAGTTTAATAAATTCTCCAGCTGCCCAATTTGTCAAATTCACCAATTTTGTATGGTTATTTAATTTATTATTGGTTGTTTAAATTTCATCTTTTTCATGCATCAATTTATAACCGTACTATATGTTCAATTATACGTATATATCTTTATATTTTCTTATTTTTGTTTCAGACCATGTGTGATCCGATCAGGTACCAGAGAAGTGCACAACAAATTGGAAAAAAATCGAAGGGCGCATCTAAAGGAATGTTTCGAACTATTGAAAAGGCAACTGCCATCGCAAGAGGAGAAGAAGTCTTCGAATCTTTCGATACTCCACGCTGCAATAAAACATATACAGGTATGTGCAGTAATATAGAAATATTTGTTTCAGTAATTTATGTACTGTACAATATGTAGAAGATGAATTAGTTTAAATATTATCACCCTAAATATCTTTAGTGGAAGTTTGAAAATACTTCACTTAAAATATAAAAGTACTATTATGTACTGATATTCTCTTTATGTATTCTACTAATTCCATTGTGAAAAAAAATATTAATAATTATTAGTTCTCACATAACTATATATTGAGTATTATCCTACTATACTGTTAATTTTATTATAAAATTATAATTCTACTATAATAGTATACTACTAATTCCAGTATATAATTATAGTACTATTTCACTATAGTAGCATACTATAGTAGTATACTCCATTATAGTTCTTTACTACTGTTCTATTAATTCTATTGTACAACTATTTAGTTGTTCCACTATTTCACTAATTTTAATATATAGGGCTACACTACTATTGTACTAAATTTACTATACAATTATACTATTACAATAGTACTACCATTCTACTCTTTCATTACATTGCAATACTATCATACTATTACTATTTTACTATTCTATAATTTACAATATACTTTTAGCTAATTCTAACTTAAAACAACTTCAGTTAGAATTAAAATTTAATTCTACTTTAAGCACCCAGTTATACATAAGTATGTATAATTGAACGATATAATTGTGTCCATATTAGCTTCACGAATACTTCACGACATATACAATGAACATTTTCGAGCCGTAGAAATGTGCTAATTGCGCTTCCTATTATGTTAGAACGGTTTCTAATGTCGTGGGTTGACAAGTATGACCCAGCGTGAACTGGAATTTTCTGCACGGTAATCGGACACTGAGATATCGCAGCACCTGAGCATCTGAGTCACATAATTCTACTTTCGAGTCACGGTCAATATACTCGTAACAGATCATATCGTATTCGAACAATTATTGTTCTTTTTTCTTAGGCAATCGGTAGCTCGATTTTAGATACGTTTATTCCGTATTAATAAACTTCTGTACACGAGATACTGCGTCCAATTAATCTCCATTCTGTTAATCGCTTTGGTTAATGTATTGCGCCTCGCAATTCACGTATCAACGGATGATGTAACACGCCATGATTGGTAAATACCAATTAGAGAGCATCGGCACGGAAATAAATCGTATTATTTTATCGCTGACTATTTTGCGTTTGCGCGTCTGCCGATTTTTGCAATCTATTTTTATCGCCGAAGAGCGGAAGATTTTTGAAATCGGCGATATAACAGGAGGTTATAGTCTTTGAAAACATGCAAATTTTATCTAGCACCTTTAGATATTTCTGAATTTCAAGTTTGAGAATTTATACATTAAAAAATAAGAATAATAATAATTTTTGTTTTTGATTTCTTTTATTATTAATTATTATATGAACATTTGAAAGTGCATTTATTTAATAGACATTTCATGACTTTTACATGTATCAAACTTTCCAATTGAAAAATTAATAAATTAACAATTTCGAATTGACAAATGTAAGAACTCACAAGTTTTCAAATTTGAAATTCGCGCGCTGCCCGCGTCAGTGCTGTACCCAGAACTGTACCAGAAAAACATCCTTTATATGGTTCATTTAATTTTAACTTTTCCCACAATCACGTCCATATAGCGATTTCACTACTATATTCTTCTTCCCATTTAAAATAAGTAAAAAATGAACCGATAAAATTAATTTGCTACCAGAAAGATTCACATGCATACGCGTCCCTGCGAAGGTCGCCTACACCTTTTTTCCCTTTTTCGTGATTCGACTGCAACCTTACCACCAGTTTTTTGGCCTTTCCCTCGCGACCCTGCAGTCTTCGTGTACTCTTTCTATGTCCGTCTTTTTCTCTTCTTTCTGTAACTTCTCTCTTCCGCTCCTCTCTCTTCAAACCACTCACATACTCTGTCTCTTTCTCGCTATACGCTTTCGGTCGATCTGCGCATGTTTCTCTTTTTATTTACTTACTGCACGATCTGTTTGTTCCTTTCCCATATGAGCACGGCATACGCGTATCGTTTCCATCGTACGTGCAAAACCAGAGTATCATATTTCTTTTCCTCCTTTCCTTTTTATCTTCTTTTTCTCTTTTCGGTCTCCGCTGTTCACTGGCTGAAAATTATTTTTTCCTCTCTTTTATTACTTTTATGATACGGCTATGTATCTACCTTGCACTTCTCTCGGGCTCTTTAAATTTTTTTTGATACACGAAATGTGTGATATTCAAGAAGTTAAAAAATTCATAAAATTGAAAATTTGATATCTTCCCAGATACTCAAATCTCAAAATCTATTTCCAAATTTCCATATCCCTAAATATAAAAAAGTGAAAATTCAAAAGTTCAAGTGTTAAAGAAACGTGAGAATTTGTAAGTAGTATATCTCTATACTTTCAACTTTCCAAGTAACGAAATCTCTGTAGATTATCAAAATTTCAGTCTGAAGATGTTAAGAGTAAGAACCTTCATCGTTGCACGCACCATGCACGCGGTTGCCCTCGTGATCTCTTCGGCGGGTAGTTGATCTTGTCCATCACAGTTCCATCTAATATTTTCTGTCTGGTGCATTTCATCTGGGCAGTTGTTCCCCTCGATTCTTCCCGCTGTTCTCCTGGCATTGTCCACGCAGTCTGTCTCGTTCGAATCTCCCCTTTCTCGCTCTAGGTCATCCTCTGCTGTCCCCACCGCGCAAGACGTTCTTTCTCTCTCCTCGTTTCGCCTGTTCGTTTTATATTGCTCTGTTTCTATGCAGTTTTGCGCTTGTGCGTACGCGGCTCCTCTCCACGTAGAAGCTGTACCTATATCGGTTCCACGTGACTCTGCGGCCATCGGTGTCACGCCGCATGGCACGTACGGCACACGCTGCTATCCGAACTTTTATCGTTCGTCACCATTGTCGGCGACTTCTAACTACTAATTCTCCACTGCGTGGGCAAAATAGTAGAACTCGAAGCTAATGTCGTAGGCAAACTCGAGTGCAACGAACGATTCCGTTGGACGCGGCGTACTTGGACATTTTTTTACCGGTTAAGTATACTCCGGTTAAGTAAATGAAACTGTTTATTTGCCAGATTCTTGAACTTTCCTGTTTTCGAAATGTCTAGATCCTTCAAATGATATTTAGATTATTAAACTCTTGTATTTTTAATTTTTTTAATTTTCAAGTTCTAAACTCTCCAACCCTAAATCTTTAAATTCTTAAAATGCCATAAATTCATGTATCCTCAAATTTTTAAAGAAATAAAGGCTGCGTTCCTAAATCCCTATATTCGAAAATACTTATGTCCCTAAATTCTTATACATATACCAAAATACATATGTTCCTAAATCCATGTATCCCAAAATGGTTATGTCACTAAATTCTTATATACCAAAATACATATGTCCCTAAATCCATGTATCCCAAAATGGTTATGTCACTAAATCCCTATATCCCAAACTGCTTATATCCCTAAATCCTTATATCCCCAAAATACTTATGTCCCTAAGCCCCTATATTCTAAAATAGCTATATCCCTAAATTCCTATATTCCAAAATGTCTACATCCCTAAATCCCTATATTCTAAAATGGCTATATCCCTAAATTCCTATATTCCAAAATGTCTACATCCCTAAATCCCTATATTCAAAAATGCAAATATCTCTAAATCCGTAAATCTCCAAATATGTCCCCAAATCCCTAGATCCGTAAATCTCCAAATATGTCCCCAAATACCTAGATACCTAAATCTCCAAATATGTCTCCAAATCTCTAGATCTCTAAATGCTTATATGTCTAAATTTCTAGACTACTTATCCCTAGATACATAAATCTCTATATCCACAAATTTCCACACCGTTAAATCCGTAGATCTCCAAATTGGAAAGGTCATGTATCGAAAGATTAACATTAAACAGAGCTTTTCACCGAAGTCATTTTTTAAATCGGTTCTCGAGTTGCGAATAATCTGAAATTTTGCGTAAAACTTCGCGATACGTAAATATACCGTGCGATTACCGATGTAATAATAACTTGGCGAATAGTTGCCAGACTTTCAAGATTGTTGAGTAAGCTGCTGGATTATTTCGAAGCTTAGTACAAGCATTACTGTTGCTAAGTAGCAGTATTTCCTTTACTTCGTATTCAAATGTTACAAAGATATTTGCACACGTTCTGCGGAAACGTTTTGTCGAGCATTATATGTATTAACGCGTTACACGCTACAGAAACAACTCAACCGATAAGCGCGTATGAACGAGAAACTCAAGTGTAATGTAATTATTAGACCTTAAGTGCCGTGATAACGAAATGTTCCCTTAACAGCGAACGACCAATAAATATCGCGTAAAAGGGTACTCGAAAATGTAGATATTCCGGGAACGAAGTAGACTACTCATATCGAATGACAAAATACCGATACTCCGTCGGATACTATAGCGTTACAACGACCTTTCAAGTACAGTGGGAAAATGGCGTTGTTGTGGAAGGAGATCTTTGTTATTTGTTAATTTTAATTGTTATATTTTCAAATTTGTTATTATTCAAATTTAAAAATTTGGAAATGTAATTTTGCGAATTAAAATATAAGAAATTTGGGGATTTTAAGATTCATAATTTAGGGAATTAAAAAATTGGAAATTTAGGGATTTCAAACTGATAATTTGGAGAATTAAAATATTGGGAGGTTAGGGATTTAAGAATGGATGATCTGAGGAATTAAAATATTGGGAATTTGGGGATTTCAAAGTTGATAATTTTGGGAATTAATAAATTGAGAAATTAGGGATTTAAGAATTGATAATTTGGGGAATTAAAATATTGGGAAGTTGGGGATTTCAAAATTGATAATTTAGGGAATTAATAAATTGAGAATTTGGGGATTTAAGAATTGATAATATGGGAATTAATAAATGGAGAATTTGGAGATTTAAGGAGGGATAATTTGAGGAATTAAAATATTGGGAATTTGGGGATTTAAGAATGGATAATTTGGAGTATTAAAATATTGGGAATTTGGTGATTTCAAAATTGATAACTTTGGAATTAAAAATTTGAGTATTTAAGGAATTAATAATTTGAAAATTTGAGAATTAGAAATTTGGGAATTTAGGGAATTAAGAATCTAGAAATTTGAAGAATTCATAATTTGAAAATTTGCGAATTTACAAAGTTAAGAATCTTGAAATTTACAAACTCAAAAATTTAAATATTGTAAATTAAAAATTTGGAAAATATAGAATTTTAGAAGTTCCAAATTCCCTAGAATGAAGTGGGAGTTCCTCCCCCCACACTAGTGCCTACACAAAGAAATCGCAAGTTACCTCACGTGCACGAAGAGCGTATTGCGCCGTTTTTTAACCGACTTCGTTACAAACCTTTCTTCGTCAGTTTCGCATGCGCAAGAACATGATAAAGTTTCATGAAGTAAAACGATCTGCGTGGTGCGTGCGACGTGGCAGATAGAGAAAATGTATAAAGCAATGAAAACGCTATTTACGTATCCTCGGACGCGATATTGTATACGAATCCTGTTGGAGGCGGTTTACCCACGTGCTTGCAAACCGCGCGTGCGCTTATTCCTGCAACGGCCTTCGTTCTCCTTCCTCTTCACCCCGTTTTCTCTGTCTCTATCTCCTTTTAACCTTACCTCCCTACGTACCATCTGTCTATTTCTGTTTCTGTATGTCTGTCTTTTTTCGCGACACGTACCCCTCCATCTGCTTAATCCCCTCCTTTACCTTAATCCCCTCCTTACCTCGTTTGCATTAAGGTGTGCGCACATTAGCAAGGAAACACGGTTATTACTTATCGATTTAAACTAAACTTTTTTGTGCCGGTGTAGATAATAGGTGTAATAAGAATAGCGGTGTGCTTCATTCATGCATAATTGCCCTTTAAAACTATGAAAGCTAACCTTATAATTAGATAACCATTATTTCACTTCTGTGCGAATTTTTATGTTACTAACTTTTGTGTCTGGGAATTTAGAAATTGGAGGTTTGAGAGTTGAGGATATTTAAATTTTTAGACTTTGTTTTCAGTTTTGATTTAGTTTACAATTTAGGGACATTTAAATTTTGTAGTATATTGATTTTTAGATGATGTGATTTTTAAAATTGTATATTTTTTAGTTTGTAGATTATAATTATCAAGTTTTCAATTTTTCAAATTTTTAATTTTCTAGTTTATAAAATTTCAAATTTCTAAATACTCATTTTTATAAATCTTTATATCATTAAATTTTCAGATGTCTAAATTTCTAATTTCTAAATTTTCAAGCACTCATTTTTCAAATTCCAAAATTCTCCAATTTTTAAATTTTCAATTTCACAAATTCCAATATCTAAATTTTCAAATTTCCATATTTTTAAGTTTTTAAATTCTCATATAAAATAAATTAAATAAGCGTTGTATTCTTCTGAATTAAAGTTGGTGACTATATTCACATTAACCATATCTTGATGTGATTAAACTATATTATCTTATAGTTAATATTATTGATATGTCTATAAAATGAATTGTTGAAAATTATCTATAAAATGAATTATTAAAAATTACCTACAAAATGAATAATGAATAATCACACCTCTCAGATAAAACACCAATAAACAAGCCAAACAAACATTAAAAATTGTCTTCCGCTCGCTCATTCTGAACGCTCCTTCATGTTATTTCATCTTACATCTCTGTCTCTGTCTCCTGCTCTCTCCCTCCCTTGTTCTTTCTCCTCTTCAAGGTGTATGCTTCTGTCACTTCCTCTGTCTGTTTATCTCTTCGTGTAAGTGGCGATCCCAGTCATCTCTTTTCTCTGTCTGCGTTACCTTCTCCCTTCTCTTCTCGATAATCCCACCACGTGTACTTATATCAATGTGCGCCGGGAGCGCTGGCACTCACTGTCACGTGCGTTTCTCCGCAAAACATTTTCTCCGATATCGACCAAAATGCTTATTACATTTTTTCTCTATATTTTTTTTTTCAAGAAGACGTAATTTTTCACGATTTCTTTAGACGCACGTGTAAAACTGAAATTGTTTTCGCATATATTCGCGCACGTTTTACGCTCGTTTCGCAGGACAGGACTGGCCATATAGGAGGCGCTATGGAGCCCCTTTTGGGACTTCAGAAAAAATAAAAAGATATTACGCTTAATTTTAAAGTTTGAACAAATTAAATTTATTTATTTACTTATGTATTACTATTATTTATTTATTTTAATTTATTTTTTGGTTGGTCATTTGTTATTGGTACTTCAATATGAATTACTATTTAATAGTAATTATTAATTAATAATAAAATAATAAAATTTAGCAACTTTGTTTAGAATATTATTATGGAATATTATTTCATTGTTTTACAATTTTTCAGTTCATTTTAAATTGCATTTTTATTAAATAAATTTTGCAAAATATTATTTAATTTTTTGAATTATTCAAACTTCTAAAATATTTGTTAGGCTTAAAATATAATTCAAAAATGAGTCAATACAAATTAAATTAATTTAGATACTCAGTAAACCCCTTTGAATACAGGATTTATTTAGAAAAAAATTAAAAATATTTAAAGTTTAAACCTGTATATTACAAAAATTTTCTTTTCTTGTTTCTAATGGTTTAAGTCCTGCAATAACAGTACATAAAAATAGTTAAAATTTTAATATAAAAATCCCCATCCTTTCTATCGTTCGAAGCTCAAGGTGTTCGTCATGTCTATCGCACCTGACGTAAATCGAGCGAGCACAAACAGTCGCGAGGCGCATTTTTGATCAGATTTGAGTTAGCACGTGGTAAGAATTTCGACCTTGCATATTTTTCTTCTTTTCTTCTCTGCTGAAGCCGTCGTGCCGGTGTGATGTTCGTTGTCACGTGCACGTTCCTTCACGCGTGTTTGTGCTGACGTCAAATGCAAGGCTTATCGTATTTCGAGGGAGAGGTGTCCTGAATCTGCAGGAGTATCATGTGACGTTCGCGTTAAAGTATTCTCGAAAGTATAGCGAAAACATTTGTATCGGCTTTCTCTAGCTTTTCTCACGCGTCCAATCAGCGATTCTCGAAAGGGTCTAGTTATCTAGCAATCTAGGGGAAAGTAGGGGAACACCGCTTACAAAGGATCACAATTGACCGACTTCGGTTTTAACGGGATTTTGTAAGGTGATACCACATGGGTTTCCAATGATACGTTTAAAGTATGCAGCAGGTGTAAATGTTTATTAATTTGTACATAAATCGATATCGTTAAGGGGTGAAAAATTATTGTATACTTTGATGAAAGCTAGCGTTCATTTCGACAAATCTTAATTTCTGTAACTTAAAATAAGTTGACAAATTATTAATTCTATTCTCATAATATCGTTATTTCTGTTCAAACAAAAAATTTTGAGAATCTATTAAAATAAGTATTGGTAATTAATGTGACTTATTTTTAAAACACTATAACTGTAACTAAAAGTGTTTAATTTACAACGTAAGTTAATATCAGCAATCTTATGAATATTTAACCATAGGGGGTGGTAATGAACGAAAAAATATCTACCAAGAATATACAGTATTTTATATGATTAAAAATTCAAAATTATATATTGTACATAACTCAGACTTTACAAAAAATAAACGTTTAATATTGTTGTGTATAAAGCAATCGATATATTTTAAAAGTTTCATTAAAATCAGCGATCCAAAGTTAGTGCTCTTCTCGTAAACGAAATCTGTATCGAAAACGATGAAAATTACGAAAATTCTACATTATCGATCGTTTCGTTTCATGTTTCTGTTATAGATGTTAGGAAGGAAGGAACGAGATTACGAACATGAAATGGAAAGGCTTGCCAGAGAAAAAATCGCTGCTCAACAGAGATTATTAGCATTAAAGAAGGAACTCGCGGCTACTTGGGATCATATTGATTTTAATACTCTTTTACCGGAACAAAATTCAGCTGCCGACATAACAGCAACGAAGAGTGGTAAATTTTACTGTTATGTTCACTTAACGCTATAAAAATTATAATCCCCTTTTAATTATTAAACGAAATTGCTTCTTCTTAAATTTTCTGAAAAGAAAAAAAAAATGTCCATGGGTTATTTTCTGGAAAAAAAAAAATGTCTTCATTCCTGGAAAAAGATGTCCATGGGTTTCCATAGTCAGTTTTCTAAAGAAAATGTTACTTTACATTTTTAATTTCATTCAGCACAATATCTGATCTAAGCTGTACATTTCACAGATAGCATAGAGTACGTATTAATTGAATTGTTCGTATTCAAGTGTCGGAAAACATGGACGTTGATGTAACTGGACTTGCTCGGGGTGGCACGAGGTACAGTAGTACCAGTAGCCTGAGCAGTGCAGCCACAGCGAGTTCACCGCAAACTCTTCAAACCACCAGCACGACTTCCAATATTCACAATCAAGTTGCGACTGCGGCTGTTGTTTGTCAAACGCAAGGCATGAACCTTGCGCAAAGTTCCAGGGACAGTCCACCTGCGAGTACGAGTCCTGGAACACCTGTACCTAGCATTCCTACTCCAGCACAGGTAAATTTAAAAGTAACACAAAACCTACGCACAATACACGTATCACTGTACAGTTACTCACATTAATGTTATTTTACAGAAAGATGGACTACTTCATTGTAAATTAAAAATACAACTTTCTGCTATAATATTTAGTCAGACAAATCAGTTTAAATGTTGCTGTATTCTCACGTCTCGTTAATATTTGAACACTGGTATATTGTTTGCAAGCTAGCAATACTTAGAAGCTATTAGAACTGTGAAATAGGTTTTACAAGCGTCTGGAATGTAATTCTACTTTTAAGGTTGTAAACGAGTAATTTTAACATTCAATGAAAGCGAGTGAATACCAGTTTCGATAAGACAACTTGTAATTTATCATAGAGAGGAAGGTAATACTTAACGAGAAATAGCACAGTTATTAGTAACCAAGAGTACAGTAGTTAAAAGGTAAGATCGCATCGAATTTAAAGAGACAAACTCGAATTTTGAACTGAAGGAGAGTTCAAAAAGTACGCATTATACTGTACAATTAGCTGCAGAAGTTTATCATGAAAGAGGAAAGAAAATCAATGCTGAAACTACGCACAAAATAAGTATAGTAATCGAATAGCAAAAAGAAAACCGTACACTAATAACGTCAATAAAAAAATAGACTGATTTTCGCCAGACTATTTGTTCACAGTCTGAAGATTGATGAAAGCCTGTTATTTTCGCTGACAAGAATAAATATTGTATTTTTTGTGCGGGTAGGAAAAGTATAGTGTGCAGAAGAGACAATCAATGAATGATTCATGTTCTTGTAAGATAAGCAGTGTGATGCGATATAAATCATACCTTCCTGCAATAACAAATATAGAAGTACTGCAGTGTCCGAATATTAATGTGAGTAACTGTACATAATACACAGGTGTCTCTATTTGGTAATATATCTTGGTAACGCTGAACAAATAGAGAATTGTAAAATAAATTCAAATGTCATCAAGAAAAAAATATGTAACTGGATGGTAAATCTACAAATTCTAAAATGCTTTATTAAAGTAACAAACAGATGGTTCTGGTAAAACTGAAATGGTACAGTCGGTAGAGCATTTGACTAGTGATCCGTAGGTCCCGCGTTCGAATCCCTACTCCGGCAAATTTTATCGACAGTTTTTTCCGTTCGCGTAAACTCTTTGTACAAAATAATTGATTGTGCACCGAAATAGCCCGCTTGGGCACAACGTGTGTTTTAGCGTTGTGTGTGAAACCGGTGCAAGAGTAAATACGCATTTGCACAAGGCTGTTTATAAATTAATATTAAATAGCGCATAAAAATGCGTATAATACTATTTTTTAAAAATCCTCTAATTTTAGTGAAGCCATAAAATGTGTACTAAAAAGCATCTTTCTATATTATACGGTAAAAAATTATTCTTATGTGATTTATATGTTTATGGGGCATGTAAAAAAATTAAAAATACAAAAATTTAGCTTGAATATAGTAATGTCATTCAATTATCACAAATAATAATAACTGTTATAATAAAATTTATTTGTAATAATAATATTAAAAATAAAATGTTGCAGGAGAAAGTTAACACATCACCGAGCGGTATAGTGCAGCAGCCTCACCAGCTGCACCTACCCATCAGTGCTCAGATGTTGAACACGAGTCAAGGTTTGGCGACGATCGTCCCGACTCTTCAGCACATTGGTCCGAGTTTGCGAGTGATACCGGGTGACACGAGGCAGCTCCTGGTCGCTCATACGGCGGGCAACAACGAGTCCAGGCCTCTGACGTTGGCCGTGCAAAATTCTTCGGATCAATCGAGGCCGCTGATTGCTGTGCAATCGAACACTGGAAGTGAGCCAAGGCCCGTAGCGCTGGTCGTTCACTCGTCCACGGCCAACGACAACAGGGTAACGTTCGTGCATTCTAATCTCTCCAACAACGATAGGCCGTTGGCCCTAGCCGTGCAATCGTCCGCCAATGACGTCAGGCCAGTCACATTTGTGCATTCGGCAAACGAGGGAAGGCCGTTAGTTCTCGCCACGCATTCTCCTGCGCTCAATGTGACGAGTGAGTACCTTCTATAACGTCGTCCACCCGTCTGTTACACCGAGCTGGAGAGTTGGCACTAGGAAGGAACGTGGGTGTGATTGCTCGTAGCCTAATAAGCCTCTGGTCTATTTGATCATCATCGTAAAAACGAAGCACACGCAGTTCCGTTATGAAAGAGTAGAGTGTAACTACAAGATTTATGGGTCACTACTGCATTCTATGACGAAGAAAACAAACGAGATGCATGTGAAGGAGATGGAGAAACAGTGGCGTATCTTGAAACGTTAGCGTAGGCTCAAAATGTTAACGCTTAGCTACCATGTCTTGCATAACCGTCGAGTCACCGTTTTTGATCAAACTTTTTCTTGAAAAATCTAAAGCAAAGCCCGTCTTAGTTGCTTTTGTCAATAATCATTTGAGAAGGATATTTAATTTGATGTTAAGAAGTACCAAATTACTTAATTATATTTACCTGTAGTAGAGAAGGTAGTAGAGTAGTGTAGATTCTTGAACTAACTCTTTGAAGTTCAAATTAGCACCTGGTCGATAATTTGATTTTTGGTTTCGGGTCAAGTAGTACAAGCCGAACTGCAAACTCTGTTCTAATTTTAAGTAACTTTCCAGCTCTGTACAGATATGCTTCTATGATTCTTAAGACTGTTATGACTGATTCTTATTAATCATAGAATATCAAAGTGTCTCACATAATAAATTTGTCATTGTGACAATTGTATTACAGACGCTCAAACAAGGATAAGAGCGGGAGACGCACAGACCACGCATAAAATGGTCGGTGGTGTGACACTGGTAGGCGGAAATGGATCAGAGCTCACAAGACTTCCCGGTGGCGCAGAGTTGAACATTCTTCCGGCAAATGGTATGCTTTACACTCTAACAATTTTCTTTTCTTGGGTTTCATTAGTTGTAATTACTATATTCTGTTGTACATTCTATAAGGGCACCATATTCCAAGGCAGGTCGTCAGTATTGCGATTTTGTAACATAGTGGTGCCAGATTAAAATATCCATTAGCAGAGCGATTCGTATGTTTTTCATATACGTGTTGCTTTGAAAATGGATGACAGATTAGAAACTGTAAATGCATATTGAGATATAAAATGTATAATATTTAATATATCGGAGAAAGACTTATAGGAGTATGGGTCTACACCAGAAATACAGCAACTCTATCCGTGAATATTAACATCCTGGGGGCAAATTACCGTACACTTTATTTTGCAATTGATCTTGTGGGTTACAGGATTAACACTGAGCCACGCAGGAGTGTCTCTTCAGACTACCACAGGTAAACCAGGCTCTACAGTGATGCAGAACGCTCCGTCCACAGAGGGTATAGCTCACATCGTTGGTCCACATACACCTTTATCCGGTCTGACACCGATCGTCACCCCGATGACCGTGGTCTCGCAGGGGAACCAAGTGACAGCTCACATTCTAGCCCCCTCCAGTCTTGCTGGTAAAATGATCACCAACCCGATTCTCAAATCCGTGGCACAAATGCCGATTGTGAACGCTCAGTATCTCAACACCACGACCTTGGTGAAGCCAGTTGTTGTTGTAAGTTCGCCGTCAACATCGACGCCGCAGTCGACGACAGCTTCCAGCACGCAACCCTCCTCGACCACCCATTCGACCGTCTGACAGAATCAAAAGCGAATGAAGTCAGTCTGAGAAATGGCTGGGGACAATATCGAGGCATGGGGTAACGGAGGTTATCACCATAGATCGTTTAATCGACACGAATTTACGTTTCGTTGTCATGCATTAACCTTCGCGTGCATAAACAACTCTGTGTCTGAGGATCACGTTCGGTCAGACACCATCAGAAGAGACTTTCTTCTCCTGTTCATGATACTATTAACAACGTCGAAGAAGAGTTTCTTATTTTCGAACTTCGTGCGTCCCTTCGTTTTAGAGGTGTGACTATCGTTTTTCGATATTTTACCGATAGCTTATTGATACTTAGGGCTACTTTACCGGACCTCGATTAACTTTATTCGATGATTAATTCGATCAGAGTAACAAATCTTTTAACTATGATGTTCCTAACATAACCTTTTCAGTCTGTACGGTAACATCAAGTAATACATTCAAATATTAAAAACATAGTTTTAAGATGAAATACATCATTAACTTATCGTAATTTGACAAATGTGAGGGCTGTTCGTGAAATGATAATGAAAAGATAGGTTAAGAACCATAGATAGTTAAATATTTTACTGTTGGATGCATTTCAGTTAGTCATTGATTATTGTTAATTGAAGTTAGTTGAAGTAGCCCTTAGCGGTATATTGATGATATTGTTAATATATTGGTTAAAGAATTGCTGAACATTAAGGACAAGGTGACATAGAGCTATGTACATTAATTCGATTCGTGCACACCATGCGGTGAATTGTGGGACTAACCCGCGATAACAAATATAAAATTAAATTATTGAATGATAAATTTATTATTATATAATGATACCTTATCACTGTTATCAATATATCGACTTATCGATAACATTCCGATATTATCGATATTTATCGATAACGATACCGATAGTCACACCTCTACTTCGTGTTTCAATTCGATGTTTAAGCTCTTCCAAATGGCTGAGCCGACTGAGATGACGTTGAGAAACCTTTGCTCAACTCGTACAATTGTGCATGGTACCTGGAATCTAGAGAAGCTTTAGAGAAGTACTTACCACGTGAATCGAACACTAATCATACAACATGGAATTTTTCTTCCTCGGTAGCAAAAGAAAATTGCTGTAGTGAAACATTTCAAATTCTATCTATACAATGTTTAAAAATGATTGATTCGAATTGTTATCAATTGTATCGGTAATTGTTCGTATTCAATTATCTATCTGAATCTTCTCTCAGAAATTGACTACATACATACATACACGTGTATGTTTTATTGTATATAATAAGACACTATTTGCACGATTTTTAAATTGCTTATATGTCGGACAAATTGATATATACGACTATCTCTCTATCTCTCTCTTTGGTACCTTGTTGCAATTGAAGTTCAGCATACGAGATTGAAACGACAGTGGTTCAAGGGTCACGTTAAATACGAGATCGGTTGAAAACGTTTTTTGCATATTGTTCGAAAAATCTTGAAATCGGATGGATCACGGATACACGCTCGTGCTTTTAAATTATCATTGTAATAGTGGCTGTGGAGATACGATTATATCAAACTTTGTCGTAACGCCTACGGATTACTTTCTAAAATTAGATCGTAAATTGAACTTCCGTTCGCGTCGTACACACGGCAAGGAACACGGATATATGTTTGATAAAATATGCTCAAGTATTTATTCGTTTATATTTATTCTACAGAACGCAACCGAGCATCAAGACGTTTGCCTTGGCTCCTTCATTTTGATATCTTTACCGGGTTTATTTCGAGATGGATTATCGCTTCAAAGCATTATGAGAGCTTTATGAAAGATGTGTGTACACTCACGTGCAACTTAGGGTCTTTTTGTTTAAAAAGAGTGTAGAGGTTAGGTATCCTACAATATTACCTGAGTTCAGATTTATTTATTTAATAAATGACTTGTTATGTTGCTACAAATGGATTGTAGCAATGAAGAGGTAAAATTTTGTCAAATTTCAAACATAAAGATTTTTATGTTTCAAAGTTTCTTGATTTCTCAATTTCGAAATTGAAAAAGTGCTAAATCTCTCTGATCGCATTAGTAAAAAAGTTACAGGTTATGTGATCCCTGCACCTACAATAACCGTTTGTTAAGTGCATGTGACTAGAGCTCTAAAGCGGTTTGTTATGAAAGCGTTCATTTATCGAGCAGCTAATAACACATGTGCCCTTTCTTACATAAGTACAATGTAACATGTAAGGAAGATTGTGTCTATCAATAGGTATGAGAGGAAAGCTTTATACGCATTTAACGAGTATGTATTTATCAAACGGTTGTGCTTTTAAGCAAGAGAAACCTACGTTGCATTTGAGTGTACACGTTTGTTAGTTCTAATCGCAGATACATTTTTGCATAATAACTAAAACTACACGGAAGAACGAACTAAGAAAATCTTCCGTTCGCGTTGCAAAAAATCAGAGAACTATCGTGTACGTGCAAATTGTTTACCGTACTATTTAAAAGAATTCTTTTCTACACGAAAACAAAACGTTTATATTTCATCTCGCGATGTTAATCCTTTGCGGTCCAAGTGTCTTCTAGATACAAGCTCAGCTAATTATTATCTGAATCTAACCCTCTCATGTATGGTGATTACATACGAGGAAATTTATATAAATTGATATTTTCAATTATTTATCAATTATACATGCAATCAAGGTTTTGTTTTTAGAAAAGTAACCAGTTATTTCTGTTGTGGTTAATCAGGGTTTCTAAAATATATTTTGAGTGACGAGTGTAAAGTAAAATTTGTAGATGAGAGGGTTAAGAGATTCATTACATCAAAAATCATTCTATCATAGGTTTTTTAACCTGTAGTGTTGAATCAAAATAAATCCGATGTACAGTGGACCGTAAAAGGTTAAAGTTTCGAGTTCTTTTATTTGATATACTCTATGCGAGACCGTTAACGGTGTTTATTAAAACCGCTTGAAATAGCGGCGTGAATGATAATGAACCATCAGGAATACTAATAATCGTGATAATGTATTATTATTAGTTTGTTATAAATGGTTAACTTATGAAATTAAATTACCATCTATCTTTGCTACTGCATGTTTTGATAGAATTGATGAATTGTACATTAATTTATAAATTATAATCAAATTTGAAACTCTAAATTAAATTGGCATACATGTTTTGTAGGACTTCTTAGTCAGCAAACTGCATCAGACTTCATCTTTCAAAATTGGTCATATCGTATGCAACGATTTAACATTTATTTAAGTTCATCATGGTACACAAGATTCCATTTATTTATTTGCAATTTGAGAGAAAAAATTTATCACAGAAGTGCACAAAATCAGCTCTCTCTCACGATTACAAGTCTGTATGATGATTTTTATACTTTCACGTGTGTGCTTCTGTAATGTGTTACTTTATTTTCTTCTCGCTATAAGGTGAAGAAGAGAATAGAGTATTTATAAATAATCCATGCAGATTCTGTATTTGCATTTCATTATTCTTTACAATCACATTCTTCCTTTTGAAATCAATTTGCTTTATTCATTAGTACCAATTAAATTTCTTGTCCATAAAAATGTAAATAATTATACAAAAAAAATGAATCGAAAAAAAAACAGAAGTTTAAAACCGGGCCAAACGACGTAATCATTTTTATATGCGTGCGTGTGAGTGTGCATGTGACTGTTAACGGTCTCTTTTCAGATATATCACGATTCGTCAACTAGTATTATTATTACTTCTATTCTGCGTATATATATACACACACGTATACATGTGTATCTTTTCGTTTCATTTTTTTTTATTTTTTAAATTATTTAATCGAAGGCTTGGTCAGTCAGTTAAGTGCTGATAATATGTAAGTGTTCGTGATACGCGTGACCTCTGTGTCTCTGAATTTATCGACAAAATTCGTTGAAGGATTTATTTAAGTTGGTTAATGGAGAGAGTAATACTTTCAAAAGTGGAAAGGAACCCCCAAAAATGTTGCAAAATGTCACCCTGGTTTTTGGAGTAATTTTGTCAATGTTTTTCAATGAATTTATTGTACCGTAAGATTTTTAGTGTTACTGCTCAAAATAATTGAAGGAAATTGAGGAAACGCCTTGGACTCGAAGTGAATACCGTGTATTTATTATAGCAATATTTCTTGTACATTTAGAGTATTTTTGTAGAATATTTAGAAGGTGTTAGATCTTTTCGTTACGAACAGCCAATGCATTAATGAGATTTGATTGTCTAACGTGAACGTATTCACTGATGGAGAATATCAAATAGTAGTGTGACCTTTTTCCTCTACGTCCGCCATTTTTTCTAGAGAAATCTGCCTTGCTTGTCTTTGTACTTCCAAATATGTTATAGAACATATTCTCTCAAAATTTCAAGTGAATTTGATAGAACTTGACGTGTACAATTTTATAACTGCCATTTTCATAGTACACTTACAGCTTCACTAAAGCTCAACAGCTCAGCTTTAACTGCACAAGGTCGTAATTTTTAATAAATATTATTTAAATTATACTTTCAAATTTAAGCACTAAAAATTTAGGCCAAAATATCTGATATTTTCTCTTGTTGTGATTTACGTAGATGATATAACCTTCACGCTTTGCTGTTTTTTAAAGGAAAAATGGCATTAGAAAGGACTTCGTAACGAAGGAGATATAATTAACAATGCTCCACTTTGGAGATAAAAGTATTTGTTGATAAAAGGCGATTCTTCATTACTTTGAGCAGTGAGTCAGGCTATAAGCACATCATTTCCAACGCAAGACTTTTGTTTTGTTATAAAAAATGTTGCAATTTAAAATTATGTGTGCTTCAATGGAGTACTGTTTATAAAAAGTGTAACATTTGTATCGTACATATTAAATTTGATAGCAATAGTAACTTCAGGAGTATAATGTAGTCATAAATCTTAAAATCATTCCAGGAGGTATTACAAAACCATTTTGTAAAATATTATCATCACGAAGAGCCACCTTAATGACTATGTTATACTTCTATTTTTCTAAATCATATTCGGAATTTTTTGCATGATATCAATAACCAGTGCTCTGGGGAAGCATACTCAAGTAAATTTTGCTGATCTGTAATTTATTCAATTTTGTACACTTGACTGCAACTTAAGCTTTTCCTAGTAAGTCCTGCGCAGGGCCATATATCAAGACTATACTGTATGCTTCCAACTTTCAAATTAGTGAAGTTAGAATCTTGATAATTTAGAAATTTGGAAACTTACAAATATAAAAAGTTACAGATTCAAATTAACAAATTTAAAAATATAGGACTTTCAGATTTCCAAGTGTTTAAACTTTCAAGTTTCTAAATTTAAAACTTTAGGAACTTGGAATTTGGAAATTTAGAAATTCACAAATAAAAAGCAATATTCCAAATTTGCACAGTTGAAAATTTAGATATTTAGAAGTATATAAATATCAAATTTTTAAATTTACAATTTTGGCGCCTTTTTCCCACAATGAAAAATATTCGTTGCGCTCGAGTGTACCTTCACATTTTACACAACCGTGGTGACTTTTTCATGCATCCTAATCGTACAATGTACGGTTAACAATGTATCTCTTACCATTGTTTTTCGGTATACGATATTTAAAAGTTTATATTTCCTTTTCCTCTTTGTTCATGGAAAATGAACGAGATTATTCTTTTCTCCACTTACCAATGTCGCGTTCGTTACTGACGAGGCGCGTTCCGCGCGATATAACGTCGAAGTATTTTTTTCGTAAATTGTAAAAAGTCATGTTGTGTCAAATGCATTTCCTTTTTAATTTGTGGCTTGCGATTTTTTGGCGTAAAGAAGGAGGAGAGGACACCTTTGTGATTCCTTTTTTTTGTTCGATAAATATTTTCGATTCGGCGCGCGCACTAGTCATTTTCGTTCCCTCCTTCGTTTAACGTGACCAACGATAAAAAAGAAGCTCCATCGGGCTTTCGAGCTGTACATTCGACACCTCGTTATTTAATCCAATCTCGAATCGTGCAATGGATGTAAATAGATGTATTAGACGTGTTTTGGGGGCATTCTTAACACACTGTACGCAACTGTGAACAATTGAGAGCGCAAAGGGAGGTTAGAAAGATTGTTATTATAACTTGTGTTCGTTGAACGCAAACAGGAGTTAATTGTTACCATTCCGTGCATTGAATATAAAATTATTTATAAGTTATGAATCGTAGGATCATCAGTTACAAATCTCTCGTTATATCTCTACTGATGAGACTATTGCGATTGGCAATATAGGAAAGGATCCATGCAACGCTTTAACGAAATTTGAGTTTGTGAAAATTTACAAAATTGAAAGTTTCTAATTTCAAGAACTCGTGATTTTGACTTCTCGACAAATTCCTTTGTACGAAAGCGTTTCAACGGTCCGTTTATATTTACTCCGTTTGCGTTCAGCGAAGGATCAATCGAAAGAGAAGCCGGGTAGCAAAATGAATCAAAGCAAAGTGGAAACAAAAAAAAAAGAACGTGTTTGCTGTTGAATAGCAGGCACGAGCATCAAGAGAAGAAAACGAAGCGATGCGAAATAAAAGAAGAAAAAGAAACGATATCCTGTTTCTTTTTCTCCGTTTTGTACATAAAAGTCTCGTGGGTGAACGAGAATCTTCGAAAAGGAAGAAACAGAGAGAAACAGTCGGACAGGAAGAAAGTACAGAGAACGTGCGGGGAATATTATGTGTACATGAACAATGTGATATAAGTAATTAATGAAATTACTTAGCACTATAGCGTTTAAGCAGAACTGTTAAATCGTTTACAGCGTAGACGTGTATGATGCTAACTATTATTTACTAACATCCTAAAAAAGAACTGTAATAAGGGAATCTAATTGTACATAGAATTACGAATGGGAGAGAGAGTGTGAAAGAATGAGAGCGGAAAGGAATGATCATGGGATAGAATTATTATTGGAATATCAGAAACGAAAACGACGAAAGGGGGGAAAAAGAGGATGTGAGAATAGACGTGTAAAAAGAAAATTCTCGTAAAAGCTGATAAACGAGTCAAATTTCTTGTATATCCCTCGTGATAGAGCCTGTAGATTATATTTCTTGCGTGAATGCTGCAACGAGATGAGCAAGTGTGGCTGAATGTTGTTGTTGTTGTAGTCTATGTCGAATTTTGTTATATACCATTCGCTGGTATATGAAAAAAAAAACACGGTATATCTCATGAATCTTTTCGAGCGACTTGTTGCGTGTTGAGAGAAAGAAATGATTGAAAGAAAGGGTGAGGAGGGTGAAACACCCAGGCGCGTGCAACACTTTTTGTTTTCAAAAGAGTGCGACAAATTTCAATACAATCTATTATAATAAAAACGTAAGCGTGAATCGTTGCCCAGTCCTCTTTTGTATTTTGTCCTTCATACCTCTGGTAACTTACTAGAATTTACAAACCAAGGTTGTATTAATAAATACAGCAATAGATTCTTTCCAACTTTTTAATGAATTCAAATTCATCAGCAAGTACGATTTCAATATTCTAATTTATCAAGTACTTGATGCAGTATTTTCTTTGGAGTAGAAATGTCGAGCAAATGTTTCTCCAACAAGCAATGGAAATACCAAAGATGCTTCTGCATAAACCTGGAATAGTAATTTATTAAATCATGGAATTGATATATATTTAATAGTAGAATAAAATTATTCATACTTTCACGGGGTTTGCATCTATTCGAATTTTGCCCCATGAGACAGCTTCATCCGGACGAGCACCGCTGTCGCTGCCATCGAATTCTGAAGCTGTGTTTATAAAAACAGCGTAGTCAGCTCCGTTTCTCTGGAATAAGGATGATTATTAATTATTCGTGAAGCTGTATTTAGTTCTTGTTGATTGAAGTTATTAAACAAATAAGAGTTGTCTTTACACTGAAACTATTAATATTTTTATGGAGTTCTTCATCAATGATATTAACTTAACATTTCTTTAAAGTCCATAGTATTTAATATTAAATAATGAAGTCTATTATAATGCATCTATCATTTAGTTGCTGGAACTACGTTAAGAATAACAAAGGCAAACTCCTGTTTTTTGAGTATTTCTACGTTAATTAAATCATCGAGTATTTTTTCTGAACTTACCATTAGATTTGCATTGCAAATATGATGTTTTACAACGCCACCGCCGATAATAATCATTCCACTTTTTACTGCCTTCATAGCCATTGTATTCAAACGCCTAAGATCTATAATACAGTAAAGCAAAAGCAATAACACTATTAGTACCTTTATATGAAATTAATATCAAAATCAAAAACGTTTCGTTTTGTAATAAATCAGAACCTGACACTATGTCTATAACTAAGCCTGGATTTCTAAAAGAATGGAAATACATCATGTCACCAAGGCTGCCATCAGTTAAAGCTGGACTGAAAACTGGAATTTTATTTTTTGCAGCCCAGTAATAAATGGATTCTTCATTATTAATTTCTTCACCAAGTTTTGCTATTACTTTAGATGGCGTCCAAAGAGTACCCTAAACGTTATAGTCAAAAATACTTTCTTTCTAAACAGAAAACGTATTTAATTTATTTTCTCTGAATTTATACCTTCTCTTTCTGTTCAGCTAACATTGCATCCAATCTGGGCATAACCCAGTCTTCAAACTTGCAATAATTGTCATTTGGTACTAGTAAATTTCCTATCCTGTTAAGACCGTGTTCTCTCAGATTCTTTCCTTGTAAATGAAAATCTCCTATGTATGTTGGGGCTAAACATTTTATTAAATCTTCTTCCACACCACCAGCTGTAGTAACAATGCAATCAACCTGTAATATAAAATAATGTTTAATAAAGCTATGTATTTATATTTTTCAACATCTCTTAACTGACCATTTTGTGTTGAACCAGAAACCTTATAGTGTCTCGAATCCCACAAGAAGCCATATTAGATGTATACCCTAAAAATACTGTACAAGAAGATTTTCTTTTTATAAAATCATCATCTTCTAATGTATCAAGTTGATCATTTTGAAGAGGAATGTTTCTAGCATTTATCATTTTCTGAATTTCTTCTACTGCTAAGCCAAAGTTCCTTGCTTGAAACCCAGAATATTTATACGTTTCAAACAAAGCATGATAATCGATTCCTTTATTCCAATCATATCCTAAAATAATGCTTTGATAAATATAATTTCATTACCTATTTAGAAGAAGTTTTCTTTTATTATAGAAGATTTATAATACCTTTGACAACAGGAGTTTCAGCTGGTACGGGAGAACTATGTACTAATACAGCATTTTTTAGATGTTCAGGAACTTGATCATGTGAATTTTCTTTAACGTTACTCATTTTAAAATAATACTTTTGTTTTAATTTTAATTACCTATATTTTATGCCTACTTTACATACAATCTTTTGCATAGTACAATATTTACAAACACATATAACCTAAAAAAATAATGTCTATGGTAGTAATGCAATTTATTTATAACAAGTAATACGATTATATAATTATTTGTTGAATTATTAATTACATAGAGATTATATACCTGTGTTTTTAAAATTTATATAAACTGTTTATCCAGAGAACATAGCTATGACAAGTGTTTTACATTAGCGAATGTAAGCTCTGACATGCGCTTTTGTACATGGTTAGGTTTTACTATTATGCAAATGCTTATTCGTATATGTCTTTAATATTTATTAAAAATAAAATGCATAGCAGCTGCATTTGACATAAAAATCGCCAGTTTATATACATTAAATAATCTTTTATTAAAAAATAACTTCTTGATTAAAAATCACCCGTTTAGGGTTAAATTTACCCGCAAAATTATAATTTCATCAGCGCCATCTAGCGTTTGGTGTTTTGAGGCTGCTCCTGGTAACAGGATTGCAGAAGAGCCAGTAAGTATTCGCTAAAATAAGAGGTTTCCTAATGGAATATACTACCTTATTACGCTTGCGAAAAATTATTAACAATTGGTTACGGGGCGTCCCACTACTTAATAATTAAATGATTAAACAATAATTTAATTAAGTTATGCACTGTATGAAAAGTGGTGAAAATAAAGAATAATTTATCAACAATCATTGGGTATCTATTGTTACCTAACAAATCCAATAGAATAAAAATTTACATATTCGAAAGGGAGAATTTGTATCAAGAGAACATGAGCTTTCGTGGAATTTGACGTCATCAAAATTTCAAGAGGTAGCATGATAGACACCTCTTCATAACTTATGTTTTCCTGATACAAATTTTCAAAATCGGTCGGTGTATAGCTTTCAATATTAATAATTTGTTCAGAGGTACAATTAGAATTCTTCTTGATCGACGACTCAGATAACAGAACACATCTTAGCCGATGACTCCGATGATCACCATAGAGTATAGCAATTATTGAAAATGATACGCATATGAATACATTCAGAGAAAAGGAAACAATTATTTAAAAAACCCGCCACAAATGATGTTAACAGCGCCATCTAACAACAGACTGCTTAACTATGATGTGAAAGTACCGACCGGATTCTGTCGGTAAATAATTGATTGAACTACAACAGTAATATACCATCAGCGAAGTTTCTATCGTAGTTCCGCGTATCACTGCTAAATGGCGCTGTGTCGAACTCACATAAGGGGCCGTTCAGATTAGGCAAATACATGTCAAAGTCGCCTCTTGTGAACGACATTTAACACAGCCCAAGAAAGCAACAGTCCGATTTATGTATTCATTACATTTTCTTACATAACTTACACTTTTCTTGAACTCTTTAGGAGCAAATTAATTGCTACATTATCTTTATTCTCGCCACAGATTTTTGTTAGCTTTCTACAAGATCCTGTACTACAGCGCACACTAATATGCACATATTACTATGACAATTCCGTCCTAGAATTAAGTTTTAATAATGCATGTATCCATTAATAAAATATATATAGTTATTTGATGTACAAAAGTGTTTGAAAATAAATATGAATAAAAATTTGTTTTTGCATATTTATTTACTTATAAATCCCGTCATTCCCATCCTCAGAAATTGCCTCAAATTTTAAAAAATAAAAAATAAAAATAAATATTCCTGGGGCGCGATTTTTGAAATTCCACCGGCCGATTTTGGAAATTTGTATCAGGAGAACATAAGTTCTGAGGAGGTATCCTTCGTGCCACTTCCTGGAATTTTAGTGACGTCAAATTCCAAGAATTCCCGGACGGGATTTTTGAAATTCCTCCGACCGATTTTGGAAATTTGTATCAGGAGAACATAAGTTCTGAGGAGGTATCCCACGTGCCACTTCCTGGAATTTTAGTGACGTCAAATTCCAGGAAGTCCCGGGCGCGATTTTTGAAATTCCACCGGCCGATTTTGGAAATTTGTATCAGGAGAACATAAGTTCTGAGGAGGTATCCTTCGTGCCACTTCCTGGAATTTTAGTGACGTCAAATTCCAAGAATTCCCGGGCGCGATTTTTGAAATTCTTCCGACCGATTTTGGAAATTTGTATCAGGAGAACATAAGTTCTGAGGAGGTATCCTTCGTGCCACTTCCTGGAATTTTAGTGACGTCAAATTCCAAGAATTCCCGGGCGCGATTTTTGAAATTCCTCCGACCGATTTTGGAAATTTGTATCAGGAGAACATGAGTTAGAAGGAGGTATCTATCATGCTACTTCTTGGAATTTTGCTGACGTGAAATTCCAGGAATTCTCATGTTCTCTTGATACAAATTCTCTCCTTCGAATATTTAAGTTTTTATTCTGTTGGGTTTGTTAGGTAACAATAAATACACAATGATTGTTGATCAATTTTTCTTTATTTTCACCACTTTTCATACAGTACATAGTCTCAAAATATCCAAAATTCATCATCTTGATTCACCAATTTGTAAATCTGAAAAGTTATTCAAAGAAATTTGATAGTGTAGGAAATGATAGGTAGAAAAACAAAAGAACAATTCTCAATTTTACAATCCATTTATTAAAAATATGCACTAATTCACATTGCATACGCATGTAGGTCTGTATCTTCGTGTACGTGTGTATGGGTATGTATGTGTGTACGTTATTTATGCGTGTACGTGTGTTCGATTACTTTCAATTAGAATAGAGTATGACACAATCATTAATATTGTCCTCTATCTACGCATTGAGACACTTCTAGCACGTAATTGATTCTCAAAATATACGACACTCTCGTGTCGATCGTTTACAAAAGGCTAGATTCATTTTTTTCTAGATTTAGTTTCGGTAGAATTTGGAATTTCTAACTAGAATCCTGAACGGTTTTATTTCTTCTCATTCTCGCTTTTACGCAGTTTATCTTCTCGCTTTTCCTTTCTCTTTCTTTTCTTTTCTTTCTTTTGGTCGATTTCACAGGCATTCACGTCTGCGAAAGAACACCAGGCTTCCATCTTTTGTGTACATATACATTATACATATACATAGAGACTGAGTATATAGCTATGAATTTTGCGAAAATTTACAATTCAAGATCCATGTTGAACGACGGCGCATACCACGTGTCCTTTTCGCGACGAAATTCTGGCTAAAAATCATGGATACTATTTTTGTATAATAATTATTAAATATTAAAGGTATGTCATGAACTTCATACTATAATTGTCAATCAATATTTTTGGTTTTTAATTCCTGAACAAGGAAAAGAACTATGTAACACTTTTACAGAAACACATACTTGTATTATTTTTCATGGAAACAAGAACACTGAAAAAAAAGTAAAACATTGTTTACCTAATTAAGATTGATCCATGACCTTTAGTCATCGCGATTACATATGATCATCCATAGAATACCACGTACGAGTAAAACTAATTAACTTAATCAATTGAAGTTCGCCCGTTAGTGTAACATAAATTACATAATTATTGTTTATATGTCCACATGTATGCATCATGCACGGTCATCACAATTAATTATTACAAACAAAAATACACGAAGTCAAGTTGAAACAATATTATATTAAATATTTTTATAGATAATATTAGAAATTATAAAGTTAATGTAAAATATATATTATTGATCTGTTTTGTAAAGGTACTCTGAATTGCGATTGTATGGCACTCCACACAAACATAGAACCGAATTCTCGAAACTTTCTGCACTCTTTAAAAACGAAAATTATAACACCTCTGTATTTTTATCGCAGTCATTTACAGTTTGATGTTTAATTGTTATGTATATTTTTGTACATACATTTGCGATACATAATGGTTAGCAATAAATTGTTTTAAATACTTCTTTCATAATTACAGTTTTCAATTGCACTTTCTTAAAAAGTTGCAAACTTTTAAAAAAATGTAGTAAAAAATGTATTTTTAGGAAATTAAAAGTCATATAATAAAAAGGATAAGACATCAATAAATTTGTAGATATATCTACAATAATTTTTATGAACACAGTTTTACAATTTATGAACATGATCCATTATGGATCAAATTGTTAAAACAATGGCATCATTCATTGTTCACATTATCCGACTCAAGGAAGACTATGATAAAAAATACAATTTTAATATCTGCAGAAACTCGAGAATTGGTTCCTTAATAATATTTCAAAAATCATGTATACAGATTTCATTTCTGTATATCGAAGATGGTGATTACAATGCATTAAGAATAACTTATTAAAATTAATAAAAAGCTATCCAATCCTGGAATGTTATGCTTGAGAAAACTTCAGTTGAACCCTTATTAGAAACAAATTCAATCTATATACAATTGTAAATAATATATCTGCACTTATTTGTAAATAATATATGTGCACTTATTTGTAAATATTGCTAAAAATATAACCAAATTTCGCTCTCATTCCTGAAGTTTAAAAAGAATTTTAAATTGAACACTGTTTAATTGCAATTGTAATTGTGATTCAATCACAGAATTGATTGCAGATTGTGCGCTAAAGAACATATTTATTGTACACGTCTGGTAAGTTGGAAAACATTGGTTCGCACTTCCACTAACCAGACATGCACAGTACTATTAATCAAAAGTATCTTCCACAGCAATTTGCAGAAGTAATATGTACATAATATAAAATAGAGATACAATAATAAAAAACAAAGCATATAAAACTTAAAATTGTATAGATTAAATGCATCTTCGATATACAATGACCTTTCATTTTCCACTTTCAATGTAAAATAGAAAACAAAAATGCATATGAAACAGTTTCTTTAAACTTAAATACTAAGCCAAATAAATAATTTCATTTGTTAAAACTGGCAACAAAGCTCCTTTCCATGTTTAATAAAAATAATTTACTTCATTGGTAAAGTTTTTAAATTATTTTGTATATAATAAATTTGTGACATGTAATAAGTGTATTCAATCATTTCTTTCAAATCATATAAAACATTCAGAACAGTGTTGCCAATTTGAACAGAAAGCAATTACGTTTACAACTTTTGACTTAACTATTTTGGATCACAAAAGAAGAATCCACATATAATTAAAGATCGATTTCATATATTAGTCAGTTAAATAAAAACATTGAGACTTAAATTCCTACGTAAATATTTAAAACGAAACGTTTTCATTGTTAATAAAATATTAACATTTGGTTAGTAAAGTATCAATACAGTGCTCCAGTGTGGAACTCGGGAACATTATGATAAACAAAATATTTTATATCCATTAAAGAAAATACACACACTATCCTTCTCGCAAATCATTTGACCATGTGCTGGTGTGTTGAGATATCACATGTATATGAATTTACACTAGTTTTCAAGAATAGAAGATACCAGAACGCTTTTATTTCATAGAGATTCACAAAGATTGCCTTGGACTTCATATTTAGAAATTTCTTCATTTTGGAATTTTAGACATTAGGAAAAATTAGGACTTTTATTTTTGAATTTTGAGATTTTGTGTTACTGGAATTTTGTAGTTTTGTAAGTTTGGAGTGTTTTAATTTAAAATCCAATCTGAAGGTCCTGAAGTTTCAAAACTTTAACATTTCAATGTTCCAAAATTCTAAAGCCCCAACGTTTTGGAATTTTGAAGTTGCAGAGCAGAAAAATATCACAGTTTTCAAATTCTAAGTCTCCAAAGTCCTTATATACCAAAATTCAAACATTTTAAAGTTCCAAAGTCTAAATTTTCCAAAACTCCAAAGTTGCAAAGTTCTGAAGTTCCAAGATAAAGAAATTCAAGAATGTCAACGTCCAAAAGGCCCGAACTTCAAAAATGAAACAAAAAATTCGAAAATTCTACATCACAGCAACACAGGGTCACGTAATCTCAAAATGACAAGACATTATTCATCCGCAATCTTTTGTTCCTTTATCACTCGCTACGCAAAGGTAACCTGTAGTGGTCATAGAAGTAATAACTTGATGGAGTTGAAAGAAGACACTTCCGAGTACTGAAAGCTTGAAGAAACTCTTTCGTTACGTGAATAATGTGAATTGTTTGTTAGAAAACAGTCGAAATTGCATTATAAAATCGTCTACACGTTTACGAACGAGAGAAAGAATTTTATAATTCACACTTTAAATTACAGAAATCCATCGATAATGAATTTTATAGAACTGCACGAAGAACGTCCACATTTTTTTGTTCATTTTCAATAAAATTCAAAGAGCTAGCGATTGCTATTAATCAGTCGTTTTTTTCACGTAGAAAGATGATTACTTTTATGACTCACATTTCTTTTGTTTCATGTTGTTATGCTGTGATTCAACAGATTCGATTACAATTAGCCTAATAATTATATTTTGTTTCTCCTTCCTTTTTGTTCTACTTACAAATCACATTTGTCCTATGCAAATAAATTTTGGTAGTACGTTCACAAAATATCATTATGTTTTACACGCATAGAAGTGAAACAAATGAAGATACATTCTGCACAGTGCACTTATAAAAAAAATGGTTTTTATTCGCTTATTCTTTTGAAGAAAATTATATAATGTAGAGGTAAAATCTTTTTAGGATTTTGACAGAACAATATGCACGAATTTTTGTCCTCTTAAAATATAGTAAATTCTAAAAAGATTCTTTCCTCTACGTTTCACAGTTTTCTTTAAAAATAATTAGTCACGAAAGAGCGTTTGTGTCAGAATGTAACTTTGAAATATCAAACATTCACCAAAATGAAATATTTTTAAGAATTTTTCAAATTATTTAATTCACACATTTAAGTGAATCGCCTCGTATATCGAAAGATATTAATTCGACAGAAAAGTTCGAAGAAATCATCGCGTAGACGTTTTTACGACATCGCGAATTTCGAAAGCCCTCGCATTACAGGGTCTACATAATTTATCTACATAACCTCAATTCCTCGACGATGCATAACGACGATTACAATAAATTAATCATTCGATTGATTCATCGTCGAACACGGAATGAAAGTCGAACACACTTTGCGTGAAATTGATTTCGATCGGTATCGGATAATTTGGTGGAACACGTAGACGTCAGTTTTCTTCCCTTTTCTTCTTTCGTAATATCTGAACTTTTGCGGGTCTACAATTATCAGGGGGAAAAGAAAGAAACGAAACAACGGAAAAAAGGAGAACGAACATCTTGAGGCTATCTGAATTTTACATGGCGAGTTCTCGCATTGACTACCCATCGGAAAGGGTGCTAACTTTACTAAAAAATAGCTTATATGTATAAAACATCTGCCTTGACAGCGATAGAACTTTTTACTTCTTCTTTTTGTCCTTTTTTATATAATCTGCATTTTTACAGCACTTCTTATTAATAAAAATACTATATAGACGCGGACCTTGCACTTATGGATTACAATTTCTTCCTTTTCTTAACACTTCATTGTATATAATTTTATTTTCTGTCATCTTGTTTGTACTGTTCTAAATGTACACTTTCCTTTATTTTTTTTTACTTTTTCATCTTTTTTTGGAAAGACTTTTGTTAGCTGACAATAGTTCTTGCATCTCTTTTTATACCTCATAGGTACTTGCATCAGTTTCCTGAAGAAGAGAACGAGAATCTTTTCTTTTTCTTTCAGTTTGAAGATTTGTTGAAGTTTCATATATGACTGTTTTTATGATACATTGATACTTGGTACATTAATCACATGTCTCAGCAAATTAAGTTACACAAAAATACTTGAATAGCAGTGTATTTACAGCTGAAGTAGATACAAATTACTTCTGAATAATATTTATACAAAGTGCTATTCATGTACTGTGTAGAAGGTACATTTAAAAATAACTATTTGCAAAGGGTGTATCCTCTAAGATTATTTTTAGGCAGTTTCAATGATCTACCAAAAAAATGTTTTGCACAAGAATCAGCCTTTGTTCAAACACTTTGCTACACATTTGCATATTATAAATTTTTCTTCTTAATAAAAAGTTGAAGTCAGGACTTTGACTCTCTCTTCAAAAATCTCTTTCTAGACTTTTATTACATATTACTTTAAATACACAATTATCTCAGTATACAAACATATTTTCTTAGAAAACACACCCTGTATAAGTTATATAAATATTGGTTAGGTTAGGTTTCACATATGACTATTCTGACAGTAACCAGGAAAATTGGAACTTGAAGATATATGTATCTCAAAAGTTACAACAATCTATATGTAACAAAATTTCTGTCTACGCTGAAACAGATTGTGTCAAAGAAGTAGAAGCTAAATATCTCAAATAGTATCAATTATAAAAATCTAAGAAATAAAAACTTTGTGAATCTTATTGAAAATAAACTGCTGAATAAAAAAACAACAGAAATTAAAGTGTCTTCAAAGTCCATGAGTCTCTTTCTTTTCTAGGTGTTCTTCAGCAAGTACCAATATACATCAGGACAGGACAATGGAATTTGTACTCGGCGACGCCTGATGTATGATTATTACCTACAATTTTTTCATTATAATCGTGATTTTGCGCGATGAAATTGTCAATCTCCGAACAAAATAGTACGGGTCTGAAGGGTAACTTGACAGGAGAGCTACTGCGAATCAAATAAAAGATGCAATACAAGAGAATACTTGTTACGCAATAGAAAATACAATCTGGGCGGTGTGACGATACTGTATGTACAAGTTGGCACTTTTTCTTCATTATGGAGTATACAATAATGGTAAATAGAAAGGAATAGGATTGATTCCGATGCGTGGTCAACCGAGAGAATTTCGAATGTGATCACGACGAACGAAGATATTTGAGCGCTTCTTTTTTATTGATTATAGTCCATGAACATTCAACATCTGTTCTACAAGTAGAATTAGTCTGATATTTATTCAAAGTCAAACATTGAAACGGTTGAAGAATATAGTATTTATAATAAATGCAGTTATCTTTAATAAATGCAAGAGACTTGTCATTTCCTTTATATAACAAAAAATGATACAAATATGTCTCACATCTGTCTGTTTATGCGTGAAAGTATTTGAATAATAAATACTCTGCGAAGTTTTTAATATGGAATCATGTCAATAGCCAACTGGAAGACTTAAATTAAAATACACTGTACAATTAGAAATATTCTGATTGTACAAGAAATGAATTGTATACAGAAATGAATTACATAATTCTGGAATATCTCTGCACCCTTTAACAGATCTGAAATATTTCATAAAGTATTCATTCTTCAAATATCTAAATACATTTCCTACAGACAAAATTAACAGCAACAAGAACCAATTTGTATAGAGAAAAATTTTCTAAAACAAATTATATCTTGTATCTTTGAATAAACTTTGAATAAGCTTGATACTGAGGGGAACTATGCACATTTCAGTTACGTTAAAAAAATACCTCATTGTAAATATATTTTTATGAACAATTTATCTAATTTATAACATTCAAAATTATGGTCATTTGCTTTCAGAAATAGCCATAACTGAAGACTTTATACCAAAAGAACCAGTCAGTTCCAAAGAACCCATTTATCATTTTCCAAAAGAATATTTCTGATAAGTATTATAGTTTTTTTTTTGGATATTCTTTGCTTTCTTATAGTTTACTTATTGTATGATTTGTATTTATATTAGACAAATCTTTGAATCACTTTTTAGGTTAACCGACTGGGTCATCTGGATCGTATTATACATATAAAACACTGTAGTTATAGTTATAAAGCACTCTTTCAGCTCGTTCGCCGCGTCTCATTCTAAGCAAGTTAGAAACCTCAGCTGCTATTATACACACGCTACTACGAGTATGTACAACCACCTACGGACAGTTGACTTCCACGTCGCCTACTCCGCACGAACGTTCACCACCTCTCCTCTCCCTTTCGTTAAGTTACTTACTTATGTTGAACACAATGATCGAGAGTTTTCAATCACAATAGACTCGCAAATGTAACGGCATACATTCACTACGAGCTGGATCCCCGGTTCAGGTGAACCAGCGGCGAATCGTTAAATTTTTATACCTTGTCGCTGCTCGTGCCGATTTGCTTTGCCATCCTCTGATCTTCCTTTCAAGATGCGTTCCGGGCTGCGTCGTTTAAAGTTCGATCGACGGGAAACGTCGGTTTACCCGAAGAAGAAGACAGGTCGACTCTGTACACTCAAGGTTTCTCGAATAGAAACGTGCACGAATGATCAGGGTCGAAGTTGAAATCGTCGGTGTGCGTTCTTTATGATCGTCGAGGTGGACCGCAATCGCAAATGGTACCGGAGTTTGGACACGATCGATTTTTAAATTCGACGCGCAACCGGCGGAGGCATGACCGATCTGACCATTTGTGTTGAGCGTCACTTCATCTACGTTTGAGGTAGAATAATTCGGGAAAGAGAAAAAAGTGGAGTGTCACCGGAGGATGATGATGAGAGTAGCGGGGAAACCTTTGGCAGTATAGAGTTTTCTTTTTTTCTACAGCCGATTCCTAATGTCCGATCGCCTGGTCGCCGTTCTTCCCTCTTGCATCGTCCACCATTACTTCGCGCCTGGTATCTTTCCTAACACCTGAAAATAATAAGCGCAATAAGAAAACTGAACGTTACATCAAAGACATATTCTTATGTATGCGACCATTTTTAATAATTTCATGGTGGCGTGGATTAACATCAGCTGTGATCTTGATATACATATAAATAAGCATGATAGAGTTAAATTTAACTTTGTTCAAATTCAATATACATTTCTCTACTTGTGTATTATATCTGCGTTAAACCTTGTACATTATATTTCTGAGGTAAAGGTTAGTGTTTAAGTACATCATCATTTATATTACCACTAAAATTGATATTTTTACTGATTTGATTGAGCCAGTGAATATCCACGCCTCTTGATTCTCAATGAAAATGTTAATATAAACAAAACAATTTGTAAGGTATAGTACAGATAAATCTCGCTTGAGGGGCTACAAAGGCGTGTTTTTCAGAAGCAACATAATGCTGAGAGCAGAACTAGTTATGCAAGTTACTTATAGTAATTATAATTGTAAATGACTAATAATTTGATCACATATTCTACTGTACACGTAAGGATATAGATTCGCTTTCTTAAATAAGTTAATGATACTTTAACTGAAATATAGTGCTCGATAATTCTATGCATTCTAAAGGCAATACTAGGAATTATCAAGCATTAGCGTGTGCATTTTGTACAGCGTATTTTTTTATGTAACAAATATTGAATAATTATTATTTATTGTAATCAATCTCTACACTCCTAACAATTAGAAGAATTGATAGTAATGAGTAGTAGATCAATCACTATGTAAGAAGAAGTGCGCAATATGAAACAGGGAATTATACAGCGGTTAATTAACGAGCGTCTACTGTACACTATTCCTTATTTCAGAGTTTTATTCAAATGTACGGCGCTTTCAGCACCAAAATCTAATTGTATACACTTTCTAGGAGGTCGAACACCTCTCCAACATACTTTTGAAAGATCTACACCAGTCAGTGCTTGAACAGCTGGAGGTACTTGCCCCACAAGGCGTGTAATTTCTCCACTAGTCGAATCGTTTCCACCCAGAAGAACAATTTCCTCCGTTCTCGCCAATGGTGCTGCAACTTCCGCGGCAATCTGTAAAGAAATAATAGCATGCGTGAATGAGTAATACTCTCTTTAATATTTATTTAGGTTACAGAAACTTTTGAGGAAACTCGATATAAACTTATAAGGTTAACGAATACACTCAACAGATAATTTTAGTGATAATAATATTTAATTAATTCAGTGATAATAGTACTGTTTAATTTATGGATAACAGTGATATTTAAATTACTAGCCTTAGTCTTATCTTGAGTACGTAATTAATTCAAATGAAATCACTTGACGTGTTATTATTTGCACCAATTAACATTGTAATTATACAATTCTGTTATGTTTGAAATTGGTGGTATTTAGGAAAATGTGACTTTGAAACTTTATCGGTATTGACGTAAATAACTAAAAAATCTTTTAATACAGTATTCAGGGGAAACCCAATAACATTCATTTTTTTCCTGTAACCATGCAAATGTCACAAGATAGTAACAGTTAAATAATCCTTGCCCCACTTTTTTCTGGGATTACCGCAAATGATACAAAAACGATAGATGCTTTCAGGCTGTACATATTATTGAAATGCATATACTTGTTTGTGGAACTGTACCATATTGAAAGAGGGACTTTTTTTACCTTTGGCAGAGCGGTCAGAGCGATGTTTAGAATAGCAGCTTCACCATATTTCTTGTACACCATGGCTTTCATCCGCATACGTTCAGCCTCCGACACTCCAACCGCCTCTAAAGCTTGAGCCTCGGCTTCTCCGATCAATCGAATCCTCTCAGCTTCAGCTTCGGCCGCGTTCACGGTCTGCGTCCTAAAAACGATGAAACCAGTTAAAACACGCCGATGCTAGAAATAGCAAAGAAACCAATTGATTTATTCCCGATGCCAGCTAATTCTGGCCTGATTTGCTTTTTCTAAGTGAACACTGCTGGGTGTTCATTCGATAGATTGGCTCTTAACCCATTGACCTTTTATGGTCCTCTCTAAACACGAGAATATAGGGTGTCTCAAAAGTTATCTTCTTTCTACTTTTTAAATTACTTTTGCAAACAATGTACGAGTACTATTATAATAGTAATAACATATAATAATAAAATAAAATAATATATAATTTTATTAAATAATAAAATAACATATAAATAATATATGAATATTTAAATATAACTATATAACAATGTTACTAATAACAATATAATATATTCTTTTTATATAAATATATTTATATATTATTTATGTGTTATTTGCATGTAACAATAAATAAAAAAAGCTGATGTTATTCTATCTTTAAAATCAACTCCTCCAATAAAAAGACGAGTTTACACAAATATTTGTAATGCAGTCATTATTCCTCTGAATCACCTCTTTCCTTCGGCCACTTTGCCAATTTTGTAATGTTCAGCTTCAGCCGGAAGTCGCACTGTACTCTGCAGCTCGTGTTCCTTTCGACGAACTTCCTGTTCCTCTACTTCGATCTGTTTACGCCTCTCTACAACCTCGATTTGGATCTCCTCGTTTCGTATCCGTTGTCTGATCTTCGCTGCTTGAAGCTCGTAGGCTAATTGAGCTTCGGCTTTCTAGAAGTCAAACAATTTTTATGCGTTTTAGTTAATTCAACATTGACTTTCAATATTTTTCAGAATGGTGATAATATAAAGAGGATCTATTTCATATTTGATATTAGAACAGGTATAGAAAAGGAGCGCAACAAAATTAAATTTATATTAAGATAAAATTATTATAAAATTATCATAAAAAATTATTATAACATTATCATAAAATTATTATAAAATTATATTAAAGGGATGGTGAACTTTCATACAAAAATTTATTAAAAATAGAGTTGACGAATTTGATTATCAAGCAGTTCTTAAAAAAACAAGAATAAAAAATATATTGTCGTTAAATATTAGAAAAATTAATGTTATATATAATAAAATATATTACGAAAATATCAATGTACCGCTGTGTTCACTTCTTGGTCAAAGTTTGCCTTCTGAAGTTGGAAGAGTCTGGCATTGTCCTCGATTTTTGTGTCGGTGTTGTATTTTATGTCCATCGCTGCCTTCTCGCATTCTGCCTCCTAGAAGATCAATATAATGTATCGATTAATATAAAGAACAAGTAATTACTCGCATACAACAATCTCGAATTCTATCATTTTGAAATTCATTAACAATGTAACAATTCTTTGTTCATACTTGAAGTTTGTATAAAACATTTATTAATTCAAATATTCAAAAATTCATAAGCCTTCAAATTTTTCGAGCGACAGTACAAATTTTTGAATGAACGAATCTTCGAATTTTTGCATTCACAAATAAATTTATAAATCTCCTAATTTTTAAATTCATAAACTTTCAAATTTACAAATTTAGCAACCTATAAACTTCCAAATACCAAAATGCACAAATTTTGGAATTCTAAAATTCAAAAATTTTCTACTTCCAATTTTCAAATTGAGTATCAAAAAATTTGTCAAACCCTCAAATTAGTAGAACAGAAAAAATGACAAAATTTTGTAGTACTTTACGTTAAAAAATTATAATATTTTGCGTTAAAAAATTGACGCAACTCGTGTTGGTGGAATTTAAATGATAAAATTCAATTGTGTTGAGTATATGACACATTTATTTTGGGAAACACCCTGTAGATTTCTGGGGATTGATTTATTTTGCAGACATTTGCGTAGAAATTACAAACGTACCCGGATTCCGGCGTCGCGGTTCGCCTCGGCGACGCCAACATCGGCGTCTCGTTTCACCGCTGCTGTTTGAGCCTTGCCGAGCGACGCCAAGTATTGAACGTCGTCGTAGACATCTTTTATCGTAAATGACAAGATCTCGATGCCCATCCGACCAACATCCGGGGCGGCAACCTCCCTTACGAGCGTTGCAAATTGGTCTCGATCCTTGTATACTTCCTCCACCGAGAGTGTTCCTAAATAGTTTCATCAATTTTATCAGTACAAACTCGTTTATCACTAAATTAATTAACAGTGAACCTACGGCTACGCAATTAGCAATCGCCTTGTAATTAAACATCAAGTTAAAAATATTTAATTATGTGACATATATAAAACATATATATAGAAAAGTTTGCTAAAATTTGAATAAAATTACATGAGATTTGAAATAGAACAAAAAATAAGTTTCCTCAAAATTTGAGTAGAATTACATTAGTCTTAAAATTGAACAAAAAATAAAAGTTTTCTCAAAATTTGAATAAAATTACGTGTCTTAAAATTCAACAAAAAATAAGTTTCTTCAAAATTTGAATAAAATTACGTTAGTCTTAAAATTCAACAAAAAATAAGTTTCTTCAAAATTTGAATAAAATTACATTAGACTTAAAATTGAACAAAAAATAAGTTTCCTTAAACTTTGAGTAGAATTACATTAGTCTTAAAATTGAACAAAAAATAAAAATTTTCTCAAAATCTAAATAGAAGTATATAACTCTTCAATGAACATAAAATCAAGTAAAAATAAAAACATCAAGTTTATATAATTGATTGATAATTTCATCAATACATTGCAATATACCGGGTGGCCAAGATAAAAGAGGATCAGTATGAATACAAAAGTACAAATACAGAAAAGTAAATTGCTAATGTCCTCTTTTATCTGAGACTCCCTGCATAAGAATAATTACACGTCCTAACATCCACACTGGTCTGCAACCTGACATCCACACACCAAAAAAATCTAACAACGAATTCACTCTCAATAGCAATAAAAATATTAAAAAATCTGACACTAACCTAAAATTGCACGGAGATGTCCTTCCAAGGTGGATAGAATCGTCGACTTAATTTCGTGAACGCTTTTTCCTAGAAATTGTTCACTGGCAGTGTGTAGAAGCTCGTCAGCCTTCATAATCTTGCATTGCGCCACCCCCGTGACAGTCAAAGGCACACCCTGGGCGGTTTCCACATTTTCGCAAACGGGATTCAAGGTCATTACTTCGAGAGACAGTCGTTGGACATCGGTGACGAACCACCAGGTGAATGCGTAACCACCCACGATGGTTCTCTTTTTCATGGACCCGCAACATCCTCCTGTAATGGCGCAAAAATAACAAAATTTAAAAATCTGTAATTTATGTATTAGAAGTGCAAACAAGATATGTAGATGAATATTAGATGTCTGAGTTTCTTTGTGATGTAAGAATTATTTGCTGATATATCAGTTGCAAAATAAATCAATTAGTTTAAGTAAATAAAATTTGTAGAATTGTTAAGAAGAATACATGTTTTATGGTTCAAGTAAAAAAATCAAAAGTATGTACATTTAATTAGGTACAAATATATAGAGAGGATGTATATTACAAATATATAGAGTGGATGTATATTTTAATATACAAATTGATGTATATGACCGATAATTAATTTTTTTAATTGAATGATAATTAATTATTTTAACCATAGCCAAATTTGAGACTGAAAAATTGTTAATTATTTTTAGTAAACTCAAATGGGATTGAACGATCGTTAATTATTTTAATCATAACCAAATTTCAGACTGAACGACTATTAATTATTTTAATCATAACCAGATGAGATTGAACGATCATTAATTACTTTAACCATAACCAGATGAGACTGAGCGACTATTAATTATTTTAATCATAACCAAATGAGTTTGAACGATCATTAATTACTTTAATCATAACTAGATGAGTTTGAACGATCGGTAATTATTTTAACCATAATCAAATTTGAGTCTGAACGATCCTTAATTATTTTAACCATAATCAAATTTGAGTCTGAACGATCGTCACTTATTTTAACAATAAGCAAATTTGAGATAGTACAATAATTAATTATTTTGACCACAATCAAATGAGTTTGAACGATCCTTAATTACTTTAACTATAACCAAATTTGAGTCTGAACGATCGTTACTATTTTAACAATAAACAAATTTGAGATAATACAATAATTAATTATTTTGACCACAATCAAATGAGTTTGAACGATCCTTAATTACTTTAACTATAACCAAATTTGAGTCTGAACGATCGTCACTTATTTTGACAATAAAATTTGAGATAGTACAATAATTAATTATTTTGACCACAATTAAATGAGTTTGAACGATCCTTAATTACTTTAACTATAACCAAATTTGAGTTTGAACTATCGTCACTTATTTTAACAATAAAATTTGAGATAGTACAATAATTAATTATTTTAACCACAATCTTTGAGACTGAAAGATCGCCGCTTAATTTTAATTATAACAAAGTTTGAAACAGAAAGATGGTTGATTATTTTGAGCATAAGCAAATTTGAGATGGAAGGACCGTTCACATCGATACAAGAGCGCAATGGTGTTGCAACGGTAAGTAGGTCGTTCCCATATAGCGGACAACGTGGTTCTTTACCGTAACACCGTTCGATGACGTCAAAAAGATGATTCCTCGAACACCTGCTTTCGTTCACCACGAACGTGACGCGTCTCACGTAATTTGTGTTCATCGATTTTGAAAGCGATCACGCACATTTTGACGCATTTCAATTGCGAACGAGTCTCTCGTACCGACACGGTTCCATTCTGCCAGATAGAACACGAAATTCACCGGGAAAACATGATTAAAGAGCGGAGAAAAAGCATGTCCGAATTTTTCGAATCTTTCGAGAATAATTTGAAACGTGTGGCTATATGGAATAACGGATAATTTTGATTATTTTGTTGTAGTGAGTAATGATAACAATTGGGATAATTAATTAGATAGATTTCCTTTTAAATGTCGGAGTTCTTAAATTTCTAAATTTCTTTCTAAACATGTGTTTCTAAGTTTCTATATCAAATAATTCAAGTGAAATTAAAACAATTTCAATTTCAAAGTGCGTAATAATTTCGCAAAATTATTATTTATGAGCTTTCTAGCAAACTGTATAAAATCAATAATGTAAAACCCGCATTGCTAATATCAATACCAAATCAATTTTTGGTATCATAAATTATATCTTTGTGATTTTAGGTTCCAAGTCTATTATTGATACTTGATGATATCTTATTGATATAAGTTTCAGTAAATATTATGTAAAATTTAAGCAAACATCTCTCCTTTCATCACTAAACATTTGCACTCAATTTCTAATAAAATACTCCACACTTTTACTGTTAAGACACAGTAAATAGTTATACACAGTAAACCTCTAACGTATCTGCAAACACAGTCCCTCTAATACCAATCACCGTTGCGTAAAGGTTCAAGCATTGAATTAATTTGATCGCAGAGCAATTTTAGTTAGAGAGTGAGTAGAATATCGGAAGAATGTCGTAAACGGTATTTGAATTACCGTAACTCCTGAGCAAAACATTCTTGAATATCATTCACACATTCCGAACACGCTTTATCTACATCACTCGTTGTCTTTACAAAGTTTACGAACAGTTTAACAAACTTCTCGGAGGAATTTAAACTTTTTCTTGAGACAATGGAATTTTTTAAATTCCACAGATATTTGATAAATATTTTTGTTCATTTTTAATCTTTAACTGAAATGGCAATAAAATAGTAAGGAATTTTTATTATGATAATATAAATGAAGAAATGGTAATGAATTTTTATGTTGATAATATAAATGAAAAAATAGCAATGAATTTTTATGTTGATAATATGAATGAATAAATATTAATGCATTTTTAGGTTGATAATACAAATGAAGAAATATTAATGAATTTTTAGGTTGATAATATAAATAAAAAAATGGTACTGAATTTTTATGTTGATAATATAAATGAAGAAATGATAATGAATTTTTATGTTGATAATATAAATGAAGAAATGGTAATGAATTTTTATGTTCATAATATAAATGAAGAAATAGCAATGAATTTTTAAGTTGATAATATAAATGGAAAAATATTAATACCTTTTTATGTTGATAATATAAATGAAGAAATAGTAATGAATTTTCATGTGGATAATATAAATGAAAAAGTAACAATGAATTTTTATGTTGATAATGTGGAGACGAACGTTGTGGAAATGAGCTACCTATGTTCACAGTACATAGTTCCTACAAAATTAATAGCTGTTAAACAACTGCAGTGCCAAAATGATAGGACGATCGATATATTTGTGTATATCGTATAATGTAACAAGATATATATACATTGTACCAAGCAAAATGAAGTCTATGAAGTGAGCAGGTCGATGAAGTAAAGACAGAGATGAACCTCGAAAGAGTAAGTTAACAATTCATAGTACTCAGCTCCCACAAAATGTATAGCTATCAAATAACTATGTATAGCTATAATTATGTGGTTAAGTGTAACTACAGTAACTACAGTCATGTAGTCATGTGTATCAGTAGCTTAATTTATATAATACAGTATTTACTGTTACCAAGCTGGTATAACAAATGTGAAGATGAACGTCGGACGAAAGAGTTAATAATTCACAGTACACAATTCGCACTGTGTAGTTGTCAAATAACACATGAAGCTACAGTTACCTAGTCACGTCTAATTGTCAATGGTTTCTATAATGCAACATTTAGTGTGACCAAGTCTATAAAGCAAAGATAGAGATGAAGTCAAAAGAAAGAGCTAACAATTCTCACGAAATGTGTAGTTGTCAAATAACATAGCTAGCTATAGTTACCTAGTCACGTCTAATTGGCAATGGTTTCTATAAGACAACATTCAGTGTGACCAAGTCTATAAAGCAAAGATAGAGATGAAGTCAAAAGAAAGAGCTAACAATTCTCACGAAATGTGTAGTTGTCAAATAACATAGCTAGCTATAGTTACCTAGTCACGTCTAATTGGCAATGGTTTCTATAAGACAACATTCAGTGTGACCAAGTCTATAAAGCAAAGATAGAGATGAAGTCAAAAGAAAGAGCTAACAATTCTCACGAAATGTGTAGTTGTCAAATAACATAGCTAGCTATAGTTACCTAGTCACGTCTAATTGGCAATGGTTTCTATAAGACAACATTCAGTGTGACCAAGTCTATAAAGCAAAGATAGAGATGAAGTCAAAAGAAAGAGCTAACAATTCTCACGAAATGTGTAGTTGTCAAATAACATAGCTAGCTATAGTTACCTAGTCACGTCTAATTGGCAATGGTTTCTATAAGACAACATTCAGTGTGACCAAGTCTATAAAGCAAAGATAGAGATGAAGTCAAAAGAAAGAGCTAACAATTCTCACGAAATGTGTAGTTGTCAAATAACATAGCTAGCTATAGTTACCTAGTCACGTCTAATTGGCAATGGTTTCTATAAGACAACATTCAGTGTGACCAAGTCTATAAAGCAAAGATAGAGATGAAGTCAAAAGAAAGAGCTAACAATTCTCACGAAATGTGTAGTTGTCAAATAACATAGCTAGCTATAGTTACCTAGTCACGTCTAATTGGCAATGGTTTCTATAAGACAACATTCAGTGTGACCAAGTCTATAAAGCAAAGATAGAGATGAAGTCAAAAGAAAGAGCTAACAATTCTCACGAAATGTGTAGTTGTCAAATAACATAGCTAGCTATAGTTACCTAGTCACGTCTAATTGGCAATGGTTTCTATAAGACAACATTCAGTGTGACCAAGTCTATAAAGCAAAGATAGAGATGAAGTCAAAAGAAAGAGCTAACAATTCTCACGAAATGTGTAGTTGTCAAATAACATAGCTAGCTATAGTTACCTAGTCACGTCTAATTGGCAATGGTTTCTATAAGACAACATTCAGTGTGACCAAGTCTATAAAGCAAAGATAGAGATGAAGTCAAAAGAAAGAGCTAACAATTCTCACGAAATGTGTAGTTGTCAAATAACATAGCTAGCTATAGTTACCTAGTCACGTCTAATTGGCAATGGTTTCTATAAGACAACATTCAGTGTGACCAAGTCTATAAAGCAAAGATAGAGATGAAGTCAAAAGAAAGAGCTAACAATTCTCACGAAATGTGTAGTTGTCAAATAACATAGCTAGCTATAGTTACCTAGTCACGTCTAATTGGCAATGGTTTCTATAAGACAACATTCAGTGTGACCAAGTCTATAAAGCAAAGATAGAGATGAAGTCAAAAGAAAGAGCTAAC